AGCTAGCGTTCAATGCTTCGCCCCTGTCCCGGGCCAGCAACGTCAACTTTCTTTACCCAGCGTAAGGTAGGGACCGTGGTACCGGGGAGACAGAGCTTCGGGCGGTGGAGCCCTTAGACGAAGACGACGACGACGTTGCCCCCTTTGCCAAATTGGCCCCCTTACTCTGTTTGGCGCAAAAGCCATCAACACCTAGATTCAACGTCTTGGCACGGGTCTAAGGGAGTCGTGGACGGCCGACTGGCGAATGACGGGTTGCGCATAACAAAGCCACCCCGGACACCGACCTCCACATAGGCTAATTTTCTCTCGATCATATCCCGGCAGGGCGACGAGCGGAGGGCTCCGCGAGCCAGACCAAGCATCCGGATGTGGCCCTACACGCAAGCCTTCCGTCAAGAGTGGAGTCGGTGCCGCCGTTTAAGCCTCCTTTTGAACGGGACGGCATCCCACATGCCGAAACAAAGCCCACTTGGATGGCTTTGGCTTGTTGGTGAGGACGCGTTCACAGACCCGAATTGGCCAATCACGCCCGGTTTGTTGTTTAACTGATGCTGTAAAAATAGACTACCGAGCGGGAAGGCCAGCACACGTTTGCTGCGCAGTGGCTTCGGGAAGTTTTCTAAACTCTCAGGGATGCAGATACCTGTGCCTCCTTACAACAACATCCCGTCAGCTTGCGGGGTTTTGCTCTACCGCGACCAACCACAATCTTCATTAATGAATTGGTTTATCGTGAGAGGTTGCTACGTTGTTTACTACACCATAGCCGAGAGTTGACATAGTAGGACTGAGCCGAGGCTTCTTGCCTGTAGGGCGTGCTTTAGGCGTCTATCGCCGACGGACGTAAAAAGTGGCTCAGCTCGGGATGCGGGGGTGCTGCTGCGCGTCCCTGGGCCTGGTGATATCACATCTATTGGATTGTGTGATTCGGAGTCGCCTTGTTCTTGGCTCCCGAGTTCATCAATTTGAGATATTGTGCCTGGCTGGGAAAGAAGAAAATTCTTCGTTTAGAGCTTGTCCAGTGATACGGGTGCATCCGTGATCGGTTGGTCTGAACTTCTACAATCTTGAGACGGTGACAGGGTGAGATCGAAACGCATCAAAGATCTTGTTTCGTCCGATTGTCTGATGGCCATCAAGTGTTCAGGCTCTACAATGTGCACATGACGATCAACTCTTGTTTATCGGTCCCCACGAGATAGGTAGCCTTAAAGCTTGGTCACGACGATCCAAAGGCTGACATCGAAGTCCTTGGCTTCACCACGGAGCTGGCGACCAATTGAGTTCCAGTCGATGTCATCTCAGGAGCCACTACAGTTGCATTCTATCTTCCCAAAATACTTCTCATCGCAAGCTTCACAAGGATTTCGTAGTATCCCGTTGAGCTGCGGCTGGGTTGTCATGTCGAGCATCAAGGCTTTTCTCCCTCCCAGCAAGCTCTCTCAAATTAAACCATCCTGAATCGTCAGCTCGACGTGAATTAGACAAGTGCCGATTGGACCTTCAGACTCGAGGTTAAAGAAAGCAAGCATTCCGGGAGGCAGGCATTTTCGGGAGGTGGCATGGACGGTGGGCGCTGTTGGGACGGGCCACTCCACGATGCCCACATTTGAAGGGATTAGGAGTTGGGAACGCGCAATGGCACTCCCTCAATCTACGATAGTGTTACAGCAACTCCTCATTTCCCTCATCCCACCGGTGCCCAATCATGTGTGTTGTCAGAATCTCTACCGGTAACTGTAAAGATCTGCCTTGTACGCGTACTCCTTTAAGCTGTCAGCCTGTCGGCAACACACATTTTCGGCAAGGCTCTGAAGACCCGAACCCGAACCGGATCCTGGTCAGCGACCACCCGTACCGTCTCTGAATTCAGGCAAGGCTCTGTCACTTGAGCCGTTTTTGAGTCTAAGAAAATTCTCCTACCTCCATCTCTACAGCGAAAATGTCTCAGCCAGACTCGCGGCTCTCATTGACAAGATGAATCGGTAGTTGTCCGATAGGTCGCCAACAACGCCGCAGGTGACGTACTGATGAGAGGCCCTTGAAGAGCACCGCGGAAATCTGAGCGTAGCGGCTGCACAGCCTGTACAAATGCGTACCCAGGTCACAATTTTAAGAATTAGGGTGGTAAAAGACAGGGATTCAGGGGTCGGTCAAGGGCCCACGGGAAGTGGGAGTAGTACGTACTACGCCCTGAGCCACATCGTCATGCGCTCTGGACGATCCCAACTGGCGGAACGCGCCCGTTGACGCGTCTGCGACCGGCCAACATGCCAAATCCACCAGACTCGGCCGAGGAACAGCTGCATTTGTCATCCCGAATCAGAGACGCTGCTGTCCCAGGCGCCGTTATGGCGGACCCACGAATTGACATCGAAGATCGAGACCGTTCGCTACAGTCCATCGTCTCTGAGAGTGGAAAGGGTCTGGTTGATCAGCTGCTAGACGTCCAGAAAGCCATCGTCGACCAATCAAAACCTCTACAATTCGTCAGGAAATTAGATGTCCTTTACTTCGAACCAGACAACAAACGCGGCGCAGGCAGTGATGATGCTCGTTCTCCAGGGAAATGGCGGCGCTGGAAAGGATTCAACGCCGAGGAGAGGAGCGACTACATCGCTGTGTCTTGGACATGGAATGCCGCGCAGGGCGAAGACCCGAGGTCCGGAGGCTTCAAGGTAGAGACATCATTGAAAGATGACTTTCAACCGTCAAGAGTGCGCGACAAGGTCTTCGAGAGAATTCAGCATTACACAAATGCCCAGCCAGGACGTTTGAAGTACGTGTGGATAGACCAGCACTGCATCGTCCAAGAAGAAGGGCCAGAGAAGACCCAAGGAATGCAAGCGATGGACCTGGTCTACGGACTGAGCGGCCACCCAATCTCCTTACTCGCAAGACGGATCGATTCCAAGGAGGACGTGCGTCTCTTGGCCGACATCCTCCAAGGCGTCTTTATTACCCACATGACGGGTTCTGCGGAGTTCAGGCTGAGTCCCCTGGCGGTGTCATCGTCGCTGATACTTCGGGATGCCATGGACCTTCTGGAAGCAATTACATCCGACTTGTGGTGGAGCAGGGCCTGGACCTTTCAGGAGAAGTATCTCAGTGAAAGCAAGATGAAGCTCCTGATCCCCCACTCTCCGGAGCTTGAAAAGGAGAAGAGACATAAGAAGAAGGTCTTCGGCACAACCGTTGGCGAGCTATGCGTCAAGTCCATCGACTTTCATAGACAGGTGACACAGCTTTGTCTAGCCTGCAAGAAAGAGAGGCCGAATCTGGCCGCCAGTGCAGATCTCATTCTCAGGAAGGCCTCCAACTACGGGGAGATGATAAAGAATGAGCCTTTGGACAGAGAGCAGAAACAAGATTGCTTGCAGAAGACGGTCTCGAGCTTTATCGAGGATGAATCCTTTGATGGTTTCTGTCCACCACATTCCAAAAAGCCACTTCTCTTCAACAATGGATGTCGCTTCAACAACGTCGTACTCACACCCCGAGGTGTGCTAACCAAGGGTCACCTGTGGAAACTTCAACTTCGGTTCCAGGTTCCGATTGAACAATTTCCATCTAGGAAAGATGACAGAAACCCACTGTCCAGACAAGACTATGTGCTTTGGCGGCTGAGCCAGCTTCAGCATGTGCTGGAGTTACTTGGGTACACGCCAATTGCAAAAGAACTTGCAAAGTTCATCGACAAGAGCCTGCATTTTGATTACAATGAGTCATTTTCTCGATGGTACATGAGAACCATGGCCAAAATGGTGGTGGCCGCGATGGATGCTCATAAGCCGCTGTGTCTTGGGGGGATTCTAGAAGGGGACAGCGATTTCTCTTACAAGGGCATCTTCATACTTGACGATTGCGAAGAGTTTCCAGTGTGTAGCGAGTGGGATACTGACGAGGATTGGTCGGGAGAAGAAGATGCAGTAGGCCAGCTTGAATCAGAATTCGGCAGCGGCAGCAGCAGCGACAGCGACAGCGAGAGTGAACACTCGTACGGGTTCACCATCGACAAACCCGAGTCTTGGGCGGACGAACCGATATACGTCTTCACCTCATCCAAACCGAAAGAAGAGGGATCTCGTAATTCGTACCCCAACGATATCGACAAACATGTCTCTATTGAGATTGAATCACAGGGAGCTCCATTAGAGGATGGCTACCACCGTCCAAACTTGGTCACGAAGAGATGGATCAATGGTCTGTGTTTCTTCCGCGGTCATCCTCGACAGGACGTTGTTTTCCCCTGGCATCCCGCTTTGACAAACAATCGCGGCGTCTAGACTTCGAGTGCTCAATAGACGTCTGCTTAATGTTAAATATGCTGTAGATAAAATAAGATGCCGGTGGGAGACTTTCATGAAATTGCACATCAGCGGTTCGTCAACCTTCTCCAGCTGGGCTCATCCCCGTAACGTCGCAGTAAAGTTTACGATCCCCACTCCTCACCATTCCCCACTCCTCACCATTGTGCCCACAGAGCCATGGTAAATGTATGGGGAAATTGTATATGTGTGTAAAAGAGATAGCGGCGAGGACATCTCAAGCCGAGCAACTGTGGGAGAAATCAACACATCAATGGTGGTCGAGGAAGGGAGTTTATTCATCCCTCTAAGTTGTTAATTTTGTCTTCAAAATTGCTGACCGGGCGGTTGGTCGCCAGTGGGGGTGGTGCTTGGTGATCAGCATCAATCACACAGATGTTTCTCCCAAGCACCCCATCAGAACTGCAGACACTCTAGGATAGTAAAGTTGGACAAGTCTGATTTACATCTGAATATGTATAACCACCTTTCTTATAGCCTTCTTCAGTTTCCAAGGTTGGGAAAATCTCCACATGTACTTGTGGAGCTATCTAGCAAAGAATTCCAACTTTCTACAAAGACTTCTCATTGAAGTATATGCTTTGAATTTTGCATAGAGCAAGTCCTTACAACAATGCGATTAACAACATTGGTCTTCTAATGCCTCATCTAACAGCAAGAGACGTCACTTTACCCTTCTCGAGGCCAGCAGGGTTTCGCGTATCTGAAGCCAATGGCAACGGTGCTAAAGACCATACACGATCCCGTGAAAACAACCACCCCTTTGTACTTGACCAGGCCATAACTCTCCGCCGACGTGATGTGATGTAGGAGGTTTCCGCTTATCGGCCCAGCCAAAACATTGCCTACTCCTTTCCCAAAATTGAAAAGACTGAATATCATGGGAACAGCAGTCGAGTCGGTGCTCACTGCAGTCGTCATCCTTGCCCACATGGCTGTGAAGCCGGCTGCAAAGAAGCCGTAAACCAGGGCGAAGACAATGAGAAGCGGCAAGGTGTGGGCAAGACCCCACAGGGCGAATGCTGAGGTTGCTGAAATGACCGTGGAAACAATAGTCAGTGCCTCGAGGGGCACCTTTCTGTCAGACAGCCAGCCGAAGGTAAGCTGGCCGGCAACTTGCGAGACGCTCATCAAAGCGAGCAGAAGAGCACCGTCTCTTCCGCTGAGGCCGATGGATGCGGCATATGATGGAAGCCATAGCGACGGAAAGAAGTAACCCAGACCTTGTGCAATGTTGGAAATGGAAAAGACCCAGAAGAGGGCATCGCGAAGAAAGCTCCAGTCCATGCGGGTGGAGGTGCTGTGAACGGAAGTCGGCAAGCGGCCTTTCAAGAACGGGATCAACGGCCCAGTCAAGACGAACAGAGCAACAGCGATAGCTCGCAGCGTCGTCTGGTAGCCGTACTTGTCTAGGAGTGCCTCGATGGCGAATGGGAAGACGGCCCCAGAGACACCCGATGAGCTACATAGCAGTCCGTAAGCCATGCCGCGGCGGGTGATCCAGTACTCGTTAACCATGGTGAGGATCGGGTAGTAGAAAATGAGGAACCCAACTCCGTAGGCGACTCCTTGGGTAAGGATGAGAGTCTCAACGGTGGTGCAGAACGAGGCGAGGACGACGCCTCCTATGCATACGAGCCCTAACCACCATATCAGTGATATTTCATGAAGATTGGGCACATGTGACGACTTACATCCAGCCCAAATCATCTGTGTCTGAAAGCGCTGGAATCGCTTGATCAAGGGTGTAACGGCTGGTGCGCCGAGATAACTGATACCAGAAGCGACACTCCCGACGACCGGGATGTATCTGTTACTTTCAAAGGCGGGCTGTTTGGAGTAGTAATTCTGAAAGACACCGAACGAGAGCGGAAAGCCTGGCACAAATCAGCCGTTGACGCTGCGAATATGAGACCGAAAGGTTGTATCACCCCATAAGAGAGCCTCGAAAACAAACGCAGTCAAGAGGAGCTTCCATGCCGCGAAGCCCCGGTCAGTGGGCTCGAGCTGATGGTGATGCTGCACTCCATGGCTTTCGGTCGAGTCGCTGGGGTCGATTATCCGTTCGTCTGTGTGAAAAGATAAGGCCGAAGGTGTCGCCAGTTCGATTGATTCCACGTTTGAATGAGCGGACATGTTGAATTGTCTACGCGAGAGAATGCTGGCAATGAGAAGATGTCTGGTTGATAGCATTTTATGAGTGACCCCATGCACCGGCTGCGGGGAATGTGAGCCGAGGCTAGCCTGGGTGCTCCGGTGATCGCTGATCTTGTATGCTTGGCGCCGACAGCTAGTCGTTCTCATGACATTCGGTAGCGTTTACCAACACTTCCATAGTAGCAATGTCATCACGCGTTTTACTTGATAGCGCATGCTGCACAGATACATCGGATATTTTGAGACGCATTGAACCTGCTTCACTACTGCAAGTCGCAGTGAAGCACTCGTTCACTCTAGTATCTCGCCTCCTGAGCCCTGGCTTCCATCCTTAGATCCCAGGTACACAATGTCGTGGAAAATTTGAAGCCACCCGTCCTCTTCTTTTCTCCACCAGTACTGCACTTTCACCATGAGTGAATCGTCTTTGTCGGTGGCAACAACGGGCTCATCCCACAAGTCGACTCTCATCCCGACCCAACCCTCCGACCTAGCCTTTGCCTTGACGTCCTCGGCCGAAGAAAACCCAGCGGGGATGACGTGCTCATCAGTGCCAAACTCATGCTCGGCGTCTGTCAATGGTCGTATGGTGTAGTAGCCTTTGGACTTGAGTGCGCCCGTGTCTTCGTCTGAGGGGGAGCTTTTCTTCGGAGCTGTCTCGTGAAGGTATCCCACGATGGTCTCCCTGTCGCGGGCAGCAAACGAGGGGTTAGGTCGACATATCTGGTAGCATGATGGAGAAAAGAAGGCTCCCTTGGCGTCGATATCCTCGGTATGGCGGTAGGAGGCGTAAAGCTCTTTTAGGTGACTGACGAGCGCTGGGTCGAGCTGAGGAGATGCCATGTGTGCGTGAGATGATGCCGAAGATCCAGTCAATGTGTCTCACAAAATGACATTAGAAGCAACGGTTGCTCAGTTGGGAGCAGGGCCGTAGTTGCACGCAACCCATTGGGATGCGACTCATGGTGGACCAGATTGTGTCAGCTTTTAGCGTGGTATCAGCACACCATGAGATGCATACTCGGCTGCCTGCCATAAGCCAAGGTCAATAGGTAAAGGTCCTCATTGCAGAAATGTCATCAAGTAAAGGGAATATGAGCGCTGGTTGCGCTCAGGATTTCAGATATCGTGCAACTTGTCCTCGCCATCTTCAGGCCGGCCGCAACCCGACAACGACCCGGAGCAGCAAAGACGGCATTTTGACGTGGCGTTCCTGTCTTGGATGTGGCACTCCGGACTTGATGTGGGGGAACTCCGTCTCTCGTCCTGCCGAGAACTCATAAAAATACACAGGGGACGGGAAGCCAGTCTTAATGAGTGGTGTGTCATTACTATTGTTCTATGTTTTCGCCCGCGAACGCAAGTGCGTGTTTTGGTATCAAGTATCCACAGCGTCAATCCTTTCTTCGTCCCGACCGGCGTCTTTAAACGTTTTCTTACGGCCTCAGACCCGTCACCAATCATGGACCATCTTTGATATCCCTTGGCTCGATCCTTTGGCTCAATGCCACAAGCCGGATGAGCGGCAAAAATGGCCACCGTACGGAGCCGAAGGTCCGTGTCTGTAGGCCGAAATGTCCGTCTCCGGGACGGCTCTCCCCGTTAAACTTTCGCCTCCCCGATGAACCAAACTCAATTACACAACCTTCAACTTAAGTCCAACCTGTACCGTACGCGCAGCGATGAACACGCCCACAGCCGCGAGCATAGCAAACCCGCAGAACAGCTGCAGGCCGAGGAAGTTGCCCCCCTGCGACGCGACAATCGCACCGGCAATGGGGCTGCCCGTCAACGCGCCAAAGGACTGCACGGCAAACGCGGTTCCAGTCCGGATGCCGATCTGTCTAATGTCCGAGATCTGGGCAATCAGCGCAGGTGCCAGTGAGATGAAGCCGCCTGACGAGAAGCCGAAGATGACGAGGAAGACGATGATGGCGGCGTTGCTCTTGCCTGGAATCCAGAGCGCGAGGCAGAAGAGGGCGCTGATGAAGGTGATGAGGATCATGACGTTGTAGCGGCCCATCTTGTCGGCGACGATGCCCGGGATGATGCGGCCGAGGATGCTGACGGCGTTCATGATGGGGAGCAGGTAGATCACCAGGTTCTCGTCCATGCCCTGCGCCCGCGCCTGCAGGATGACAAAGTTGAACGGCAGGAACATGCCCCAGAAGAAGAGGAACAGGCCAAAGATGGTGATGGCGAAGGCGGGCTGGCGGAAGCCGTCGAGGTACTCTTGGAGGACGAAGGGCCTGGGCCTGGGCGGCAGGCGCGACTTAACTGTCAAGCACGCGATGCTCAGCAGGAAGAGGAACAGGAAGGCGACGGTGCGGATGGCCCACGGGAAGCCGACCTGCGGGATCATCTTGGACATCATGATGGGCAGGATGACGCCGCCGAGGGAGGACCCCGAGACCATGATGCCCAGGGCGGCACCCCTGCGGCGGAAGAACCACGACGTGACGGAGGCCATGCAGGCGTTGAAGGCGGCGCTGGATCCGATGGAAGATACCAGACTCTGGGCGAGGATGAACTGGTAGTACTGCGTCGACAACGAGGTCATCATTAGGCCGAAGACGTACACGATCGTGCCGCCGTAGAGGAGGTATTTCGGGCCGTATGAGTCGTACAAGCGACCGAACTACGGCAAGTCAGCGACGTCACTTCGATCCGAAAATGGCAAACTTACCAGAGCGCCCATGAATGTCATCGTCCACACCTGCAAACTCGTAATCCACGACACCGTCGAAGAAGGATACTCCCTCAACGGGCCCTCCAGGTAATACGCCTGGAAGACACCAACGCAGTTGATCAGCCCGAACGTGCAGAACAGCGCGCACCACCCGCCGAAGACGACGAGCCAGGCCTGCGTGCCGCCGTCCGGGAAGTCAGCCGGGTTGAAGCCCGGCGCAGCGGCTGCGGGTGGCGCCGCAGGTGCGTCGCCATCTTTCTTGGCATCCTGCCCGTCGACGGCCGGCGACGGTGACGCCAAGCCGCCCTTTTCGATGTCGGCCTCGGCGACGTTGGCGGGCTCCGGGTAGATGTTTGCCTCGGTCTCGCGCTGCTGGGAGGGGATGCGCTCCATTGATGGATGGCGGGTGGAGGACCCGTAGGGCGAGCGGTCCCCCGTCTCCTCCGTCTTTTCTGGGTCCGTCCTTGCGGGGGCTTGTGTCTTCTCCATCACCGTCGAGGAGTTGGACGACGTCGAGAGGGCGTCGTTGGAGCGCATTGCTGCGGTGGGAGTTGGTGTTTGGAATTGACCTTTCTCTCAGCGATCGATGTGTTGTTCCCTGAGTTCAGTCTTGTTATTAGTTGAGGGGAAGCCTCTCGAGTGAGAGATCTCAATGCACCCCTTTTGTTGATCGTCCCAGGCGAAAGATTCTCGAACAAAAAAGAACCCTGCTGGTCGATGAGATGTGGTGGGGCCGGGTGGCTGTCTGTCGCGTTTCTCTCGTGGTGGCGAGCTTGTCTCGAAGGATGGACAAGATCGGATGGCAGCTCGACGAACTTTGTATCTCCTGGAGAAGCCTTCAGGCGACGGCTTCAGACGATGGCGGATACACAATGCCCGTTTGTCATGATGCGGCTCAGCTGGCAGGATGGGCAAGATTAATAATTGGAGAGCCAGGCAGACGAGGGAGAGACACGGCAAACTCGACACTCCAGGCTCGCGTTCTTCTCGCTCTTTACCATGGCATTCTTGCTAGGCTCGGAGAAAAAGCAGCACCAGTGAATGCGGGAACGCAGTAGGCTGCCGCCAGCTTTCCTTCTGACAGCCCTCTGACAGACCCATGCTCGGGTTTAGACGCCATTGTCTTGTTGATCGACGCCATTCTGGGTCACCCCCTCTGAGATTCTGGGGACTCGGGGAAGAGGGGGCTGGGTTGGGCTCCACGCTGCCCGGGGTTAAACAGCTTCGGCCGTTTGATAGCTCTTTACCGCGTTTGGTATCTGTAGCTAGGCCGTTCAAGATCCGTTGGTCTTGACCGGCCGAAGTACGTAAATTGCCGGGCAAGCGACGAATAATTGCGCTGCTAATGCTGCTGGTTATTGTGAAAGATCTGTCGGGGTGATGTCCGCGCATTCTTTCGCTCCCTTGCCTGCAGAGAGCGACCGTGGAAGAAGCAGTCTGGTCTTCCACACAGTAGTGGATGTCGGAGATCGTGTCACTCTTTTCTTCTTTTTTTTCCCGAAGAGACTAATGCGACAAAGCTACTCGCAAAAGGAATCAAACGGTGCAGCTTAGCGCTGAGAAAGTCGGTCAGCGGCCCTCAATTGCCACGAGAACTATTGCGTCTTCATTTTTTCTTCAGACGGTTATTGTGCTGCCGGTGAGATGCGTAAAATGGCTGCACAGTTGGTAAGCAAGTTCATTCTCAGCCCCCCCCCCCAAATTGAGCTTCCAGAGAGTCGCCATGCATCAGATTGCGAGTCCCACAATCAGGTTCTTCAGTGCTTGAAAACACCGAGATGGCTGTGAGATGACGAGATCTGACGGCGCACGGGGGGAACATCCTGGCCCGGAGCTGGCTTCCGATGTGGGGGGCGCGGATGGTCCCTTTGGCTCGGCGTTGAGACGAAAACGCGAGGCCCGAACATCTGGAATTGAAATGGCACGTTGAACCTCTTCCAATCACTGGGGGCAAACAGTTGCAAAGGGTGTGCTCGGCTTTCGGTTCGGAAATCGAGCCATTGTTTTCAGGTACGCTAAACAATTAGAATGTACGTAGATATTGACACCAGTCCCGGGGGCATTGGCCTCTGTGCATAGTGAAGCCACCACGTGGAATAGACGTGCGCGCCGTCAACCAAGCTTCTTTTGATGGAACGCCAATGCGTCTGGGCTTATATTCTGGAGACTGGGCCCATATCAGTCGGAGAACGAGACACATCAGATCTCCGAGATCCAATCTCACGTCGAAATGCATCCGTTACTATGTCCGCACACCCGTGGCTGACATATCTGATCCGGACGGACACAG